AGTGAGAGCGAAGGCGAAAAATTGAAGTCAATGGGAAATCATGTAATAGGGATAGAAAAGGTTGTGAATGTTAGCAAGGAAAACAAAATATGTGCATTAGGGAGGATAAGTCACTAAATTTTACCCAAATATATCCTCCATTACCTAAATATGACATTACAACCAAATAAAAGTCCTCTTAATTCTATGTGAACACTTTGTCAAAATTAAAATACACTAAGGAAAAACTTATGGCATGTTCGCATGTGTGAAATCTCATTTGTGAGGGTCAGAGTTCATGTTATGAAAAAGAGTCTTAACACTATAACTATTTGTTGTTGGTTTTAAAAGAAAGGCTATACTTATATTGGTGAGGGCATTCACGAAACATGTTTGGTGCTTAATTTTGTGGTTTGTCTTTATGATGTTGCATTAGTCTGAAATTATATGAGAGGAGTCGTGTATCAAGGTGGTGAATTTTTTGATTGGTAGAGTATAAAGAAGAGTTGAAATTATTGCATGAAGAGTGCCACAAGTTCATGATTAAATATGTTTGGTCGATTGTAAAACAAGGTGCGGAGTCTAAAGGGTTAAAAGTGTAATTTGATAAAATAGAGTTTGTTCGAGGATTAACAAATGTTTAAGTGTGGGGTGGTGATCTTGGGCATATATATATATAATTACGACAAATTACCCTCTTTAACATTAGTTTAGGACATTATCTAATCTAATTAGCATGGTTTGCCTCAAGGTTGCGTTGATTCCACAATAATATACATGATTAGTAATTTTTTAGGTTACTACGGGAAATAATCAAGAAAAATGGAAAAGGAGTTGGAAATGAAGAACAACATTAGAGGAGTACAGGAAGGCGGTGACGCGCTAGGCCTCTTTGACTGAGGCATGTGATGGGCACACTTTAGGCACGCCGCGCAAAAAGTCCAGGCGCGTTTTGGGCGCAATGCCCCAGCCTTATGTAGATCTTTTGAAGAAAGTTGAAGTTAAAAAAGGACTCCTAGTTGAAGTAGAATTCGACTCTAATTTCCTAATTACTATAAATAGACCCTTAGGACCTCATTGTTTAGGTTCGACTTTAATCGGTCTGCAAGAGAAAGAATTCAAGTTTGTAATATGTTTTAATCTTGTTACTCTTATATTTTTCGAAAATCACATGAACAAATGTTTTTTGTGGTTTTTGAATAGTATGAGTGGCTAATCTCCCTAATTCTGGAGATGTAGCTACGAATCGAATGTTGAATATTATTGGATTTTGAATTATTTATTGGTTGTCAACACAAGTTACTCCTATATTCTTGTTTTACTATTTTATGCTTGATCAGCATAAGATAAACTTAGTGTCTAATCTTAAAATCGAAAGAGGAGGGATTAGATAGACCAGAGGATATAGAGAGCTCGATCGACCCATTAGATTGAGGTGATTTGTGTTCAGGAGTGACGCCCGGACGAACAACTTGCTTGGTTACGAAATAGGATGAAATATAAATGTCGTCAATTAGCTTACTTATTGCCGTTAAACGATGTAGTTAGGTATCTAATTGGGGTAGGTGACGAGAGGTATGTAGCCCGACTTATATAATTAACCCTATAAATCAGTAACTAGACAACTAAATTTAGTTCTAAGTCAATACTATGATGCATAAGATTCAACATATGCTGCAGCTTGGGAATTGTCTTTTTCTTTATTCATTGCTAAAGTAGTCGTAGTTAATAATAATCATCAATTCTTGAAATAATTACTTTTACTTTTAGTTGTAGAATTAAGTATTGAATACAAATTGATCATAAGTCCCTTGGGAACGATAACTCGTTTCTAAAAAAGAATATATATTGCATGCGCGACCACGTACACTTGCGTGTATATTGAGGAGCAACATTAGGCGACTCACTTCACTTGTAGGCTATTATAAAGTAAATCACTAGATTGTGTGGAATAGAAAACACGTTGAATTTATGACCATAACTCAATCAATACATATTCACTTATAATATGTAATAAATCAAAGAATTTAATTTGGTAATAGTTAGGTGTAGCCATATGAAAAGGATCCCATGTTTTGTTTCTTTAGGTTTTTTCTATGAATTCAAATTTTGTTATTTTATTGAATGTAGACATACAAGTTGCACAAAATAAATCTTAAAAATAATTTGCACGATGAAGTAATTTGTTCAATATTCAGAGATATATATTAGCTTCAGAAAACATATAATTTACATTAGGCATATAGCTTTAACAGGAAGAATCTTAGCTATCACAACTTGTTCTAGAAACTCAAATAAGAAGGTATCTATTTTGTTTCCATTTAAAATTAATTAAAGTTACATCAGAAAATGACATATTTATCTCATAATCAAGTAAGAGTATTATACCAAGATAGAAAACTAGTGAAAATGACATTAAATTTGAAAGGAAGGAATAGAAAAAGAGGAATGACCAACCATGGTTACAACAAAGTGGAGGAGTGGTAAATACATCAATATTTTTAAGTAAAAATTTTGGACTTGATTCTCTTGGATATGTAATTGTCTTTGTTAGAAAATACTTTTATTTAATGTAGATTTTTTGTGCAAATTTATATTTGATCAAATCTTAATATTGATACCGCACACAAAGTGAAAAAAAGAAACAATGAAAATGGTAGGGTAACAAAGTTAGGTGACACATTCAAATGTTTGGGAAAAAGAAAATAATAATGTGCAGGAGCACGCTGTGATTGAGAAAGATAGAGAATGACCCAAAAGTATTGGTGGGAAACAAAGGTGTACACATCTTATTATTTCTTTTTATTTTTTGGTTTTCTTTAGGAGCTCCGACTAAATTCACATTGCGCGTGGAGTTTTTAACAAGATTTTTTTCATGTTCAGGTTCGAGCACGAGACTTTTAGTTAAGGATAAAACACTCACACTAGTGCACACAACTCATGTTGGTCCTTAGTATTTCATTTTATCTTGTATCACCTTTTTAACTATCGTTATAATTAAGTCTATTACTAATTAAATACTCCCTCCGTTTCAAAAATAATAAAAAAAACAACGGAGTTTAAGAAAAGAAAGAAGTCTTTTTGATCCTGTGTTTCTAAATTAAAGTTATGTCAAATGTACCAAAATATTCTTTAATCTTGTGGTCTTAAACATGCCACATGGAAAGTTAAAGTTAAAGTTTTGCCAAAAAAAGAAAGGGATAATTCTTTTTGAAACATCCTAAAAAGAAAATAATGTCATTCTTTTTAAATGGAAAGAGTATAAAAGAATTAAAAAAAATACAATTTATTAGTTCTTTCTATTTATAAAATTACTTTGTGAAATTAAGAAGTATAAAAAATAAAAAATTTATTTTATATTAAATCTATAATTGAAAATAATTATCACTTTTGATCATGTAATTTCTAAAATGATAATTAATTTTACGTAATTTTTAACAGGGCCGACTCTATCTTACTGAAAATAAGTCCCTTGCCTTATGCCCCCAAATTTTGGGGGCCCAATTTTTATTAAGAATAAATTATGTGTTAAAAAATTATAGAAAAAGTTGTTATTTATGATAAGAAGTATAATTTTTTTAAAATATATTATTTTATCCTCTTTAACCTCTTTTGTACTTTGTAAAAAATAAGAACAAAATAGTGAAAAGTGTTGAAAAAAGTGAATTACAATTTCTTTTTTATTTCTTTCTAAATTTTAGTTTTCAGCATTACTATAAACATATTAAAATGAGGTATATCAAGTTATCAACTTCTTGAGTCAAATTCTATGATTTTAACTCTTATTTTTATTTAATATTTATCAACTTATTATCTATAGCATTATGTTAACAATACATATAGTTCGCCTCACTGAATGACCTTTTTTTAATGTTGAATTAATAAAATCTTACCTAAAATTAATAACTAAAAAAATAATATTATACACAGATAGTTTTCATCTAAATAGTGTAAGAAAAATAAATGTTGAATAAATGTGTATATAAAAAGTTATTTATATTTCAGGGTGCGCACTGAAATCTCGCCTTAGGTCCCCAATTACGTTAAGTCGTCCCTGTTTTCTAAAAGTGAAAAGGACAATTTAATTAATTTTGAGAAGTATTAAGTAAGTGAAATATTAAGAAAAAAAATGCAATGATATTGTAAACATTAGAAGGAAGATACGGCAAGGGGTGTGCATCGGTCAGTTCGGTTCGATTTTACATATAATCGGTTCGGTTAATCGGTTTTCGATTTTAAAATATGCTAACCCAATAATAAACCAATAAGAAATTTTTTATCGGTTTATCGGTTTTTGATGTTATCGGTTCGGTTTCGGTTAACCCAATAAGAAAATGTTGATCAAATAATATTTAATAGTACGGATGTTATAATTACATGTTACCAACTTACCGCCAAAACATAATAGACAATTTTGAATGTTGATCAAATTACTAACATTCACAAACTTGCAAAAGTTATCGCCTACAATTACGAACTAGAATTAAAACTAAAATCAAATATTTCAAAGAGACAATCTTGACCAATTGCTTGATCGACCAGATAATCAACAAAGTTCTCACCAATTTCCTAACCAAAAAATCACATAGCCTGAAAAGCTAATATTGAATCTATTTATGTATTAAATTATGTATATTTAATATTGAGGAAGGGTAAAGTAGTAAATAACTATCGTCTTATTGGGTTATCGGTTTACCCAATAACCCAATAGGAAAAACCGAAACTGACCTAATAACCCAATAATTATTTTTTCTAAACCCATTAAAAACCAAATAACCCAATAACAATAACCCAATAACATTTTATCGGTTCGATTTATTGGTCGGTTCAGTTTTTGTACACCCCTAGATACGGCTATTAAAATATCTTTATAAATGTTCTGATTTTATATCGTACTATCGGTCTGAAATGAAAAGAGGATGAACATGAAAATGAAAAGAATTACTCCCCTTGATCCTAAATTTTTATATAGTACTTTTTATATTTCCTTAGTTATGTGATAAAAATATGAATGTGTAGTGCGGAGGCCGTAGGACCCAACAGAAATATTGAAAAGGAAAGGCGCACAACTCTATTTGTTGTGTGCTACAGACAACACAACACCACTTCCACTTTCTTACTTTTTTCTCAAATCCATTTTCATTTCACACACAAATTACTTTCTTCATCTTCTTCTTCTTGGGGGTTTGGTTAATTCTGTTGTTTCATTTTTAGTAATAATCATGGGTGGTTGTTGAGATACAAAGTTAGGGGTTTTATACTATAATAAATGGGAAATTGCTGCTGTAGGGGTCAACCTTCAATATACAGAGTCTCTTCTAATGCAAAATCTGGTCTGTTTTTCGAATCTTTGCTTCCGTTTACCTTTTTCCATATATGAGCTTGGATTTCGTTATACTGGGCAAACTATGTTATGTATGCAACAAAAAGTAAATTTTAATAATTGAATCCCTACTCTACTATCTCCAATCAAAAACTACTCTCCTTCTTGAATACAAATTTAAGCTCATGTCCTGCTTTTTCTCGCTGAAACATTACCTTTCATTTCTCAATATCTAAACATGATGTGTCTGATCCCAGTGTAGTTTGTTGGCAAAATGATTTCATTTTAATATTTGATACTTCACTTGATAGGTAGTTTCAGACCACTTATAGTTGGCTTGTCAATTTTACTTCCTTTCAGAGTCTCCAAAGGATAAAAGTCCATCTCAAAATGCAAGGATGGATCACACTAAGATGCCTTCGAACCCTGAAGAAGTAGAAGACCTGCGTCGTAGCTCAGCTACAAATCCATTGATTGCATTCTCCTTTGATGAACTTAAGATAATAACATGCAACTTTAGACAAGATTACATGCTCGGTGGAGGAGGATTCGGAAATGTTTATAAAGGATATATTACTGAAGATTTGAGGGAAGGACTCCAGCCAATTACAGTAGCTGTTAAGGTTCATGATGGGGATAATAGTTATCAGGGACACAGGGAATGGCTGGTAATTAGCCTACTCAAAATTCTTCACAATGATTTATGTTTCTTAAGTATATTTCTCAAACCGTATGTTCTTTCATATCTTCCAGGCTGAAGTGATATTTCTCGGCCAACTTTCGCACCCAAATTTAGTAAAGTTGATTGGTTACTGCTGTGAAGCTGAACATCGAGTTCTTATATACGAGTATATGGCTCGGGGAAGTGTTGAAAACAATTTGTTCTCAAGTAAGTATGATCACTTCTTTTTTAGAATTGGACATTTTAATGATATGTAGTAATGGTACGTAATGGAAGAATTCTCAAAGTAAGTTGTTCTAGATACTTGAAAAGGTTGTAAATAGCTTGGACATTAGGAACTTTTTTGAAAGCACATCCTAATCCGATCCCTCCTAATCATTTTCACCTATCTATTATTTTGTTTATCTTAGTGTGCTCTTACTTTAGTTTGAAATCCATCCCTACCCTCTATATCCAATCGCCTTCATGAGTCTGGATGTACTTTCATGATATCATTCTCCATTAAGCTGTGCTATGATTAGTGTTCATTGTTCTCAAGCATGGGAAGTGACGTACTTGCCATAAAGGGGACCATGGTCAAGCATATATAAAGTATGATAATATCTTGAAGTGGAGCTACTTTCAACTAGGGACATCCGTCTATGTGTTAAAATAATACTATCTTGACACCTTCTAAAAAGTGCAGCCAAAAGGAAAAAAGAAGGTAATGGATAGGTTTTTCCATGATATTCTGGATCAGTGCATATGTGGTCCCTTTTTGACTCTATACAATCACTAACATTTTGTGCTATGACTAGTTGTGATTCCCCTCCTCTCCTCCTCCCCCCTTACTCTTCCTTTCAAAGTAGAAAATTTTTCCTCTGGTAGAAGCCTTCTACTCATTTATGGTTTCGATATCTATATGAGAAAGCGTAAAATGAAAATTAATCCATACGATGTGTTCTTTACAAGAATTTCACCTAAATACTAGAGTCCCTTTTGCTCCAAAATGATTAGTATAGTTTGGCCAAAGTTCTGTCAAATGCTCAAGTATCAATTATCATGTTGCTCCCCTCTATGACTCCACTCCCTACTTAAGTTTGCCTCATTCTTTTGAGGATAATATTACTTGTTTTTCACAGCTTGATTGAGAAAATGTTGGGATCTTGACAACTAGCTTTCAAGTTTGTCTGCAGTCAACATGCCTAGAATCTTTTCTTCTGAAATATCTTTTTAGTTCCTACTTAGTTTGTTACCTTTAGCTTGTGGAGTATACATTAGAAGCAGGGAACAAACCTCTAAAGCATTTGAATTGTTTCTGAGGCACCGATTCCTCAGAGGTACAGATTCACTTCCCACATCAGAAAGGATGAAGGGAAACTAGTTATTTTGAGATTTCCCAAAAGTCTCTACTCTCTACTAAATGGTATTGATCAAGTTAAGCCTATATTTTCATGAATAGACATTTCTTACTTAGTGAGTCGTATTACATGTCACTATGCTTATGTAGGGTTTCTTGATTTCAGGAGTATTGCTTCCTCTTCCGTGGTCCATTAGAATGAAGATTGCCTTTGGCGCAGCTAAGGGGCTCGCATTTCTGCATGAAGCTGAAAAACCTGTTATCTATCGAGATTTTAAGACATCTAATATCCTGTTAGATCTGGTAAGTATTCTACATATTCATATTTTATTCATGCATGATTTCATTCAAATGGCTTCAGCTTAGAGCGAGTATACACTGCAAACTTTATATATACAGGAGTACAATACAAAACTCTCTGATTTTGGGCTAGCTAAAGATGGACCAGTTGGTGACAAATCTCATGTTTCTACTCGCATAATGGGAACCTATGGATATGCTGCCCCTGAATATATTATGACAGGTAAATTTATCTGTCTTGTAAATACATATTGTCTTTCTTAATACAATATGTGCAACAATGTTTTCTGCACTAAAACTACATAGAGTAGTAGCTCTTATAGGGACAAAGTGCTAAGAAGCAATTTTGAAGTGTTGAAACTGAATTTAGTGATAAGCAATTACGTGTTTGAATAGAAGTGTTAGAAATTGAAAATAAGTGTATTTGGTGGAAATGTGCTTTGACACAATTATACTGTCATCCTTGAATGATATCGAGTTGTCCACCTAATATTGTTTTCATTTGCTTTATCACAGCTAATGCTTTTGCTTTATGTGTAGGTCATTTGACTCCTAGGAGTGATGTTTATAGTTTTGGAGTTGTTCTTCTCGAGCTTCTAACGGGAAGAAGATCACTTGATAAATCGAAACCAGCCCGAGAACAAAACCTTACAGATTGGGCAGTACCATTGCTTAGAGAAAAGAAAAAACTGCTCAATATTATAGATCCAAGACTTGATGGAGATTATCCCATAAAATCTGTTCATAAGGCTGCAATGCTTGCTTATCATTGCCTAAATCGCAACCCGAAAGCACGACCTTTAATGAGAGACATTGTAGATTCCTTAGAGCCTCTTCAGATACCTGGTGAAGTTCCAACAAGTGAGAAGCCTACTTTGACTGTGATCACTGATACGCCAAATGGAGTTATCAAAGAGAAGGTGCAAACTTGAACATGATTACAAGGTTTTCTAACTTCCCTAGCATTAATAGAATGATTTGATACAATATTTTACTTTCCTGTAATGCATTACAATGTTTGGCTTTTTGGTAATACAAATAAACACACTATTTATTTAGTCTCCCAATTTAATAGCAGTTTTCAATTCTATTTATCATACCGTTAATGGCCCTTCTACACTTAAATACCAAACTTTTATACATCAAGTTGTTAACAAGATTGTGTATGAGCTCGATAGTGATGACGCAAAGGAAAAAATGGAAGTGTATTTTGAAGTTGGCAGGTAGAGAGTTGAAGTTTATTGTTGATGACAATGGTTTTACTGAATCATCAAGCATTTACTATTCCAACTATCAGAATGAGTTGGACAAAAAGCGTTAAAAATCAAGTCTCAGTCTTACTCCCACTCACAAAGGGGTGGGGATTAAAAAGGACTTTTGGAAGTAAAAATAAGAGAATATGCCACAAGTTTTAACTAGGTGGTACAAGATCTATTTTTTAAAAAGAATTAGTGTTTGCAAGTATGCACTATGCTCCTTTTAAAAATGTTTTTTGTAAATCCAAAGTTTTTCTACTAACACAGACCTAACTAAGAAAAGTGGTTATCTTCTTTTTTTAAAAAAATCAAAAGTGCAAGAAAACAATCTTAGCACATCACTATCTTTTAAACGACTTGATCTTCTCAAACAAGGTTTTATTTCCCTTCATTCTACAAAAAATTAATTCATCATTGAGCAACTTTTTTTAATTAGTATGTATTGCTTTTTTGTTCTTTGTGAATCCATAGCTTGAATATTACTTCAATGGCCAAGGGGGATAAATAATTTATTTATGTGATGTAAGGCATAGGCGGAGTCAGGATTTATGTTACTGGGTTCTAGTTTTATTTTTTATAACCCCCCCCCCCATTTATATATATACACACACGCATTCTAGTTTTTTTTATATATAAAATGCAACTTTTTTTGTATAACCCACCTATTCCACACAATTGTTTTTTGTATAAACCCACCTACATCGATTATTTTTTTTATTCGAACTCAGGTTGCAGGAGGACAAAAGATTTCACTGGGTGCGCAGTGACTGTCGCGCCCCATTTTTGCGGAAAACGGGTTTTGTGCACGACCTAACAACTCTTTTGGGATTTTTGAGTTTTGGAGTCGCCACCTAACGAATTAAGGCGCGTTAGGGCACCTATCTAACCTAACTAAGTCTAACTAAGGTCAACGGGCCAGAGATTAGGGTAAGGGTTCAAATTACCTCGAGGGGAAGGTGTTAGGCATCCCTCGAGGTCCACAAGTGTGGGTCCCGGCCATATCTCATGCAATCTATGTGGGGGTACAAGTAGCAATCAAGGTCGTTTAATTTATTAATTTATTTAACCTTACTAAGTGATAACAAATATAAAACAATTAACACTATTAATTTAAGCATGCAAGGAGGCTAGGTGATGACAATAAATAAAAGAAAAAGAAAGTTTTATTTATATTTAAGCATGAGACTAAGTTATAAACAAAATTTATAAATATTAAACAATTAATATGTGAGAAAGTAAGGTTTTGAAAATTGAGCAAGTTTTTGAATATGAATTTTTATTTTTAAAAAAATGTTTGTTTCTTTATAGGGATGATGCCACGATATTATTGATCGCGCTCCTCCACCATAGAAACAATTTTGATTTGAGGTCAGTCTAAAAATAGTTATGTTTTGAAAAATGATTTAAAAGATTTAGTTCACACGTAGGCACATAAACATTTACATATAAATGCACATAATTCTTTTTGAAATTCATGGGTAGGTGGTACTTCCGGGGATGCGTCGGGTTTAAAAAATTGGAACTAGACCTCGTAGTTCCTTTGACTTTCCCACTAACGATAGGTTAGGAGATAGTACTTTATAATTTATTTCAGAAATAAGCAGAGTCATAATCAATCCAAAATTTAAAGAAAGATTGAATTATGTTGCAAGGTTTTGATATGAAATATTTTTAAACTAAGTAACTTGCTAGATGCATAAAATGACTCTAATAAAAAAAGTTGCATAATGAATGCGGAAATCTTCAAGAGGACAAATAGGATTTCTAATGATATTAACTAATTTTAAGGGGAGGGCACAAATATGCACAAACAAATTTTGTTAAAAAAATCTATTTACAAACCTATAGACATGATTTCTAGGTGTTTAAAAAAAAATAAAAAAATGTAACATATATATGCATGATTTTGTAAATGATATGAACAAATTAAACCTTAGACATGGTTTCTACATGACAAGATGATGCTAAAATTATAACATTATTAAAACACCTAATCGGCCTATTACTATGATTTGCTTTTAACATTAACGGAATCTAGTTTATTATTTTAGACTTTATTAACAAAAGTGTCAAGCAAATTGAAAATTGATTAGATTATAACACCTATAAACATTAAATCTAGGTGGTTAAAGACAAACCTATAGACATGATTTCTAAAAAATATAATGAACAAATAAGCATATAAATCCCCCTCCCCTAGACGACCCCCAAATAAATTTATTATATGAACTTTAGGGTTACAATTGTTACATCATTCGGATAAATAAAATAGCGAAAACATAAAAATATATAGATATATATATACATTCAAACAAATAAATAAATCCTTCTTCAGTTAATCTTCAACTTGAACTTCAAATATGAAACCTGTCAAAGTAATTAGATAACTACACAAGTAATTACACTTGTTAGTTAAGGTGAGACAATATGCAATCGTTTAATGACGAATTCTACATACAAAACAATAGCTTACACAAATTGTGAATGTAAAGATAGTGTGAATGTTAAGAATACTAACCCGTTAAGCAAAACGAATTGATTCAACCTTTACTCGAACAAAGTAATAAGATAGCAAAGAAGAACCCTTGAATAATTACTGGAATATTAATGTTTTGTTAAGTAGCAAGAGAGCAAATGAGAGAAGGGAGAATGATGAGAGAGTTTTGTGACTGAGAGTGAATGAATGTGTGAATGAATAAAAGGAGTCTCTTTATATAGTAGAGGAGGGGGGAACAAATAAGGGAAATAAATATTTCAAGGAATCAATTATAATACAATTTTCCTTATTTTAAAGGATATCCAAATCAGAAAATATTAATATATTTCATTACCAAATATAAACAAGTAAGAAAAATAAAATAAGAAGAGTAATATATTTTCCTTAAATAAAGAAGAGCCAAAAATCATTTTACCATATACGAATCAGTTTAAAGTCTTATTACCCAAACAAATCAAATAAGGATATTCAATATATTAGTAATACACAAATTGACAGTTCTGTCCGCCGCTGGAGTTCTGTTGCTGCTGCTCCTGGTTTCGCCGGCGGTCGCTGCTGCGTCTGGTGGCTGTCGCCGGCGGTCGCTGTTGCTGCTAGGAGAAAAAGAGAAGAAGGGGGGAGGAGAGGAGAGGGAAGAAGAGGGGTGGCGGCTGGTCGGAAAAGGGAGGAAAACGAAAGGGAGAGAGAGGCTGCCGGAGACGGTGGGTTGGTGGTGTTGGGAGAGAGAGAGGCGGCTGATCTGAGGGAGGGAGAAGAGAAGGTTGGCGGCTGATGCTGCCAAGGAGAGGGAGGGAGAAAATTTTTTAGGTTTTGGGACTTTTGGTGTTAAAAGAGAGTGAAAAGGATGATCTCAACCGTTAGATTAGATAGAGATGGAGGGTTAGGATTTGATCTAGAATTTAATTAATTTTAAATAGACGGATGAGATCAAATGGATGATATTCTTGAAATTAGATTGACAAAGAAATAGAGTGGCTAAAATTGCAATAACATTTGGCTAGAATTGGAATGAAAGAGAGGCTATGATTGTAATAAAATTTTAATTGGAGTGGCTAGAATTGAAAGAAATTGGAATAGAATAGGCTAAAATTTAAATAATTTTAAGGAAAGTGTAAAAATTAATTAAACTTTAAACATTTGAAATTCATTAATAATTTTAAAATATTTTAAAAATATCGACGATAATTTTATAAAGTAGAACATACTAAAATATATAATTTTCAAGCAAAGTCGACTAAAAATATAAAATTTAAAATACGTATTTAATCTAATAGTATTCCTAAAAATGGTCAAAGGTCGGTCAAAATTGGGTGTCAACAACTGCCCCTTGGTTGATTGAGAATGAAGAATGAATTGTCAGGCAACCAACGTTGACTTAGTAGCCGATTTTGTCCGACCGACGAGATATATCAGTTGGATCAATTGAAATGATGTAGAGTTGAAAAAAGGGTACGACCGAGACTTTGGTTTTAAGTCGCCTACATATCTCTGGTTATACGAGAATCAGGTCGTGTGTAGTTCTGGATTCAAGAGCAAATGAAACTCTTAAAAGTTGAAAGAGCGGTAAGGTATTTGAAAGGCACGATATCGGCTTGAATGGATAAGAATAGAGTAGCGAGAAAAGAGAGATTGAGAGGCTGAAAGAGCGTGACAGAGAAGCGAGAAGAGCATGATAGAGTAAGGCTATCAGCCTTTGAGCGAGGGTTCGAAGTATGAAAAGCGAAGAATTGATATAGTCATTGTTGTGATAGAGGATAGCGTGATAATTGTAATCAAGGGCGATCGATCATATCTGCAAATTCTAGATAAAATGTTAGCTTATAAATAGATAAAGTATGACCAATACTAATAAAATATGAGTTCTGAATAGAAAAGAGGTGATAAAAATATATCTGTTTGAGACGTAGTGCAAGCCTTGATAGTCTTCAACTTCTCGAAGGATTGAACCCATCTCTGAAGAATGACGTCAAACTCCAATAGATTTGATACTATAAAGATATAACAGTATAGATGAAAATATCTAGTTATAAGGAAAGTCTAAACGTCATTTTAAGGCAGACAAGCCTAAGTGTCGTTTTAAGGCGGACAGCCTAAATATCTTATAAAGCGAACGAACATAAATGTACTATGAGGCGGACAAGCCTAGATGTCCTTTTTAAGGTGGACGGCCTAAATGTCCTATAAGATGGACAAACCTAAATGTCGTTTTAAGGCGGACGAGCCTAAATGCCCTATTGTAAGGTGGACGAGCCTAGATGTTGCATTGTAAGGCGGACGAGCCTAAATGTCCTATAAGATGGACAAACCTAAATGTCGTTT